CACCCAACCCATCACATCCAACCCATCGCACCCAACCCATCTCTCCCAACCCATCACATCCAACCCATCGCACCCAACCCATCGCACCCAACCCATCGCACCCAACCCATCGCACCCAACCCATCGCACCCAACCCATCACATCCAACTCATCACACCCAACCCATCGCACCCAATCCTTCTCTCAAATGAAAAGTTTGGTAGGACTTGAAGTGGGTTCTTCCTCCTTATTCTTATTATATGAAGAGACTTGTAGGTTGGCCTCATCTAGATATTTGGATTCAGTCTCTGTTCTTACCTACTACTAAGATCAGTTCTCTGCGGGTTGGCTGGCTCATCGAATGGCAGTGAAATATGGCCATCGTGCAGCCATTATGCTTTGCTGCGGAGAGGCTATGTCTGGAGTTGTAGTTTTGGGGTCACTCTGATTGGTGTTTTGGGGTCAGACTGGATGGAATTGTGGGTAAGATTGATGCTGCTCATTGCCAATCTGTTTCCTCTCCATTTTATGTCCCATCCTGACCAGACGAGACGTCTCTGGAGGCCGGAGTGAAGGTCCAGATCCACAGTCAGGACGAGCCACCACTTATAGACCAAGTGGGCTTTGGCGTGGCCCCCGGATTCCAGACGTTTGTGTCATGTCAGCAGCAGCAGGTATTCATCAGGGAAATGGTGACCCCCCCCCCCCATCCTTGGCTTTGTCCTGGGTGTCTACCTCCAGCCGGCACTGGCAAGACCTTTAATCTCATTGCCTTAGTCCAGTGCGGCTGTTAGCGGAGGTGACTCCAAGAGACACAGCGAGCCGTCACATGATGATTTCATAACAGGAAAATACACCACAAACCACATCAATCCCCGAAATGTGCCGACTTTCACACCTAGACCACCTCCAATAACAAACACCGGACCTCCCCGGGGGCCTCCATGTCACTGGTCCAGCAGCTCTCCAGAAGGTGGAGATGAAGATTGGCTCCTCGTTGGACTTCAACACAATTTGAGTTTTGAATTGAAAACAAAATTTGTAAGGAGGAGAAATGTGGGAGCTGTGAAGGTGTCATGGCGGAGCTCTGCCGCAGCCCCTGACTGTCACCTGTAAGACATCCACGTTCTCCAACTGACAAAAATAAATTCCTCCACCAAGAATG